TATCCTTCCTAGCCCTCATCCCAAATTTCCCAGCAGGCGAAGGACCAGCCAGCGCTGGGATGAGCGCAACCACACTGAACCATCAGGAAAATCCCGCGGGAACAGGTTCGGCTCACCCCCTTCTCCCTGGAAAGGGGTTCGACACCCTGGAGGACCCAATCCCGAGGGATAAGAGGAGATTTTTATGCACCGAATGCGGGAAGAGTTTCAACCACAGCGCCTACCTCCTCCGCCACCAACGCATCCACTCTGGAGAGCGACTTTATCCCTGTCCAAAATGCGGGAAAACTTTTACCTGGAATTCCCACCTGAATTCCCATCAAAAAACCCATACGGGCGAAAAACCCCATCGTTGTCCCGAATGCCAGAAATGCTTCAGCCGTCGATCCAACCTCCTCCGTCATCAACACCTGCACGGGATGGAAATTCCTTATGGGAAAAGCTTGAAGGCTGATCGTATCCTGCGTTCCCGGAGCCGCCCGGATGACGTTCCCTATATTTGTTCCGAATGCGGGAAATGCTTCAGCGCTCGCTCCAACCTTTTCCGTCATCAACGTATCCATACCGGGGAAAAACCCTATAAATGTCCAGAATGCGGGAAAAGTTTTGGGCAAAGCTCGGATCTCATCCAGCACCGGCGAACCCACACCGGCGAAAAACCCTTTTCCTGCTCGTTTTGCGGGAAATCCTTTAACGAACGATCCCATCTCATCCGCCACAAAGGTCGGCATACAGGGGAAAAACCCTATAAGTGTCCGGAATGTGGGAAAAGCTTCGTACAAAGCTCGGATCTCCTCATCCATAGGCGATCCCACGCCGGCGAGACCCCCTATACGTGCACCGAGTGCGGGAAACGATTTCGGGTCAGCTCCAGCTTGGTGCGGCATCAAGGATTACACACGGGAGAAAAACCCTACAAATGCGGGGAATGCGGAAAAGGATTCAGCGCCCGGTCCGTCCTCGTTATCCATCAGCGGCTCCATACGGGAGAGCGACCCTACGAGTGCCCGGCTTGCGGGAAGCGTTTCGTTCAAAGCTCCAACCTCAGTCGGCATCGACGGATCCATACGGGAGAGAAACCGTATCCCTGCTCCGCTTGCGGGAAGAGGTTCAGCGTCCGGTCGAGCTTGGTCAAGCATCAGCGGCTCCACGAGCCGCCCAGGGAGGAGAAGGATTTAGGGTGGGGCTCAGGTCGTGGGGAAAAGCAAGCGGGA